TAAAAAAAAAAGGGGGGGGGGGGATGGGGATTACATAGGAGTTGGGAAAGGAGGGGAAAGGAAAGCCGCCTTAAGGAAAAAAAATTTCTGTGTGCCACAGCGTTTGCTAATTTTATCAGGACTGTAGAGGCAAGTGGGCTATTCATGGGATTTTCTGCACGTTGCCCTGAACTCTTGCTCTCCTATAAATACTTCGGAAATTTCTGTCCCATAACATGATTGCTCTGATGCTTGATTTACAGCACTTCACTCGTATCAGAGCTCCATCAGAGCCATAGTTATTAGTATGGACTGAGAGCTAGACTCCAGCATTATGTAACTTTTCAACAGCAGTCTAGGTAGCTGTCCTATAGGATAGTACCACTGGTTTCTGGCCTTTAAAAAAAAGGTTTTTTAAAAAAGTGTGTGCGCATGTGTATGTATGTGTGTGTGTGTGTGTGTGTGTAACAGAAGGCATCTGTTTGTCAGAACATCACTGTACTTTGTCTCTCGTCCATGTGGGAAAAAGCTCACGGGTCTCCAGAGGGTTTTTTTCCGCAGTAATGGATGGCCTGCCATCAGGCTGGGAAGTCACGTGTGCCACAGTCTAGCTCTCTGTGCTCATTCTTACTATGGTAGAAGTTACACAACAGTTTTCCTTAAAAATATTTCACAATTTTTTGTTTTAGATCCCAAACAAATAAAGAATTTATGCACCGCTTGAACAGGTTAGTTTATCTTAAGTTTGTTTAGATGATTTATCACTGCCATAAGATGCTGTCCTTTCTTGCAGCTTACGTAATTTTCTTCCTTCCGATTCCAGTTTGCACACCCATTGTGGTTCAAAATATGCCTCTTTAGTGATATTGACTTGGCTTACTTGATACACAACATTTTCCAAAGGCTGGATGCGTTCACAGTTTGATGCTTGCAGTGTGTATTGAAAGGAAAATACCCCACTTCACTTAGTCCGACAACTCAATATCAGAGTCCTCTGATTTGACTTTGGCAAGTTCTTCATGTACCTCCCTCACCATAAGAATACGTGTTAACATGATGTCCAAGGTCCCAGGGTCTATTGGCAACGTGGAGTACCACATAGGGCTATTAGGTACACAAGAACGCTCAGGTTGAAGGTAAAATACATCACTTCTCTGCTTCACGCTTTCAGAACTGTTAGTGTAAAGAAAGTAAGACCATGTATCAAAAGGCAGAATTAACAGAGTCCTGGTCACAACACAGTTCACGAGAGAGAGCGAGTGAGCAAGGAAAGTAGACGTTACTCTTGGACTAGATCACCGTAATTTAGATCTCTCTACTGGTGATTAAATATACCTTCTTCATCCATTGATACACACCTCGTTAATGTGCGTTAGTGTTATCTACACATGCGCTAATGTGACTTAGCTATTTTCACCTAAATTTGATACCTGCTTTATGCAGGTATTAAATTTAGGCTCACATAGCCTTAGATAACCATTTTTAAGATGCATTAAGGGCATACATATGTAGACATGTGTCTTCAAAATGGTCATTTTAGGCCAGGGGTGGGCAAAATGCTGCCCGGGGGCTGGATGCGGCCCACCAAGCCATTCTATCCGGCC